CGGTGGAGCTCCCTACGGGGCCACGAAACGCTGTGATGGGTGGGTGACAATGCCAAGTTGGGTGTGGGGGACGCGTTCGGGCGGTCCCACTGGGGACTTCGGTGGAGCTCCCGATGGGGCCACGAAACGCTGTGCTGGGTGGGTAAAACGCATGGAAGAAGGAGGAGGGAGGAGGGGAGGAGGAGAGGAGAGGAGGAACGCGGGGCACCGTCTCCTCAAAACGAGCCCACATCACAGGATGGTTGGGAATAACCTTTAAGGTGATGAATGCAAATTCCGACAAATGTTATGCCCGCGCGCGCTGGCTGAAAGAACCGGAAAACAATGTGAGTGCAGCAATATGGTCCAGAACCCGCATTCGAATTTCACCACGCGGTGCATCCGCGTTGATCTAGCACACGCCCGGCGCACGAATCCGTATCCCATCATACCACGCGGGCCACACGCGCGCGCCGCCACGCGAGCGCGTCGAAATTTTTCCAAGAACATGTGTGTTCGAAGCATTGCAAGAGAGAGCTCTTCAAAAATCATCTTGGCGAAGACCCAACCATACGAAAGTGTGCATGCCGCACAGCAGATGGGACGAAAGAGGGAGAGCTCCTTTTGGAGCAACGAAACGTGCGAGGGGTGTGTCGAAATGAGCGGGTCGGACTCGTGTGGACGCACCCACTTGGGCCTTAAGTTAAACCTTTTTTATCGGCTTCGCTATCAACGACACGTGCGCGCGGTGCGCCGAGGCTACGAAACGCTGGAAGAGCCGAAATTGGTGGGGCGGGCGCACGTGAACGCACCCAGTGGGACCTCAGGAGGAGGGCCACGAAATGTGGCAGGGGTGTGCCGGACTGGGTGGAGCGGCCGCGTATGGACACACATACACACACACACACACACACACACACACAGCGTGGCCCAGTGTGGCTTGAGGTGGGGGCCGGGGCCACGAAACGTGCGACCAGTGTGCCGCAATTGGTGGGGCGGAGGCATGTGAATGCACCCAGTATGGCCTGAAGTGGAGCCCATTTGGGGGCCACGACTCGCGTGAGGGTGTGTCGAATTGGGTGGGGCGGACGCAGGTGGACAAACCCAGTGTGGCCTGAGGCGGAGCTCCCTATGGGGTCACGAAACGCGTGAGGGGTGGAACGCATGTGGACACACCCAGTGTGGCTTTAGATGGAGCTCCTTGTGGGACCGCGACACGTGTGAGGAGTGTGGCCACATGGGTGTGGCGGACGCACGTGGACACACCCAGAGTGGCCTGCCGTGGAGCTCCTTGTGCCTCCCCGAAACGTGTGAAGGGTGCGCCGACATGGGAGGGTTGCGCGCGCGGACTACGCCATTGGGACCTTCGCTGGAGTTTCGGTGGACCTTCGGTGGACACACCGAGTGTGATAAGAGGTGGAGCTCTGCATGGGGACACGAAACGTGTGAGCGGTATGCCGAGATGGGTGGGGCGGACACACCTGGAGACACCACGTGTGGCCTTAGGTGGGGCTCCTTGTGGGGCCGCGAAACGTGTGAGGAGTGTGCCCGCAAGGGCGGGGCGGACGCATACGGACACACCCAGTGTGGCCTGCAGTGGAGCTCCGTGTGCCCCCACGAAACGTGTGAGGGGTGCGCCGACATGGGGGGAGAGGCGCGTGCGGACTACGCCATTGGGACTTTCGCTGGAGTTTCGGTGGACCTTCGGTGGACACACCGAGTGTGAAAAGAGGTGGAGCCCTGCATGGGGACACGAAACATGTGAGTGGTGTGCCGAGATGGGTGGGGCGGACGCACTTGGAGACCACGTGTGGCCTTAGGTAGAGCTCCTTGTGGGGCCGCGAAACGTGTGAGGAGTGTGCCCACATGGGTGGAGCGGACGCACACGGACACACCCAGTGTGGCTTGCAGTGGGGCTCCCGATAGGAGCACGACACATGTGAGGTTTGTGTTGAAATGGGTGGGGCGGACGCATGTGGACACATCTAGTGTGGCCTGCAGTGGAGCTCCGTGTGCCCCCACGAAACGTGTGGGGTGCGCCGAACTGACCGAGGCGGCCGCATGTGGACAGACTCAGTGTGGCCTGCAGTGCGGTTCCCTATTGGGGACACGAAGCGTGTGAGGTTGTGCCGACATGGGCGGGGCGAACGCATGTGGACACACCCAGTGTGGCTTGAGGTGGGGACCCTTATGGGGCCGCGAAACGTGTGAGTTGTGTGCCCGCAAGGTTGTGGCGGACGCACGTGGACACACCCAGTGTGGCTTGCCGTGGGGCTCCCGATGGGGGCACGAAACGTGTGAGGGTTGAGCCGAATTTGGTGGGCGGAACGCGTGTGGACACAGAAAGCGCGGCCTGTGTTGGGGCTCCTTGTGCGGCCACGAAACGTGTTAGGGGCGTGCCGAGATGGGTTGGGCGGAAGCATGTAGGGTGGAGATCCTTGTGGGGGGCACGAAACGTACGAATGGTGTGCCGAAACGGGTGGGCAGATGCATGGGGGGCACGAACCGTGTGAGGGAGGCGCTGAAATGGGTGGGGCGGACGCATGAGGACGCACCCAGTGTGGCATTAGCTCCTTATGGGGCCACGAAACGCGTGAGGAGCGGGCCGAATCGGGAAGGGGCGGACGCATGGATAGAGGCAGAGACGGGAGGAGGGAGGAAGAGGAGGTGGAGGAGAGTAGAGGAGAGTAGAGGAGAGGAGAGGAGAGGAGGGGAGGGGAGGGGAGAGGAAAGGAGAGGAGAGGAGGACGCGGGGCGCTGTCTCTTCAAAACGGGGACCCAACGCCACAGGATGGTTAGGAACCTCTGAAATCAACAAATGGTTTGCCTGGTGTTTTGCACTTCTGCGCGCGCGCACTTCCTCGCCATCACCCTTATCAACGCCATCGCATCATCGCCGTTATCGTCGATCGCCACTATTGCCGCCATCACCAGTCAATCACCTTTTTATCACCGAGGCATGGACGTCTTCATCATCATCGTCGTCACCGACATCGGCACCGTCGTTAGCTTTGCTGTCGCCATCGTTTTGATCGCCATCACCATCGCTAGTATCGTCAACGTTTCCGCCGTTGTCGGTGTCATCGTGACACTCTACATGTGTGGCGATCCAACGAGCAATACTAAACACCTACGGGCGAACTGAAAGAGTCGTCAAACATATTCCGGCGATGACTTAGTTTATGTTGTTCGTACAAGTGATTTGGTTAGATGTTGGTTTGGTAGTTGAGCTAACGATCTAGGAATATATTTAAGTGTCGGAAAAAACACAGCGAGATGGCCACAGGACAACCGCGCGACCCATCTCGTGAGCATCAGGATGGTACAACCACAGAGCAAACCCAGAATCACCCCAGGACAATCAGGGGTCAACGCGCCCGGAATGAGACAACCACGGAACATCCACGAGCAAGTCCCGGGAAGTACCGCCCGCGCGCATTGCACGAAGCGAAATCGAAACCCATTTCCCGTTGGGGTAATTGCGTTTTTACCTCCCCGCTTCCGATGGATGTATGGCAAAGCACCGCCCTAGATGCGACATCAAATAATTTCCAGCGAGCCGTTATGCGTAGGGCCTCCAAGCGGGGCATGGGGGAGTCCGACAGTGCACCAGCCAAAGCGAGCCCGTTTCGAGACCTCTTGTTGCATGCGAGCTCTTTTACACCGTTTGGACGCCTCGTCGGGCGGCCTCGGAGAGTCTTGAATATGTCCAGCGGGTTTTTGGGGTGCTTCTCGGCGTCTGCAGCGCCCCCCATGTCGTACTTTGACCTCATTGCGACCCGCTTGCCTCGGGAGCAACTTGAAGGCCTTCGTGGGCCAAGAGGAGTGGGAGCAGAAAACAGCTAATGAGGTTGGCCGCATTGGGCTCGTCCGTGAAATGCCTTCTGGACGCTTGACGACTCCTGAGAAGCATATGGGAGCAACATTGGGCAATGTCGAGCCACATCGGATCGGCATAGCACGGTCATCATTCATGTCGAGATGGTTTGGGAGGGCAATGAGCGTCAGCGACGCCAGCCTGGGCCGCGAGTGACCCAGGAAGGAATGATGAGTTTGCACCCCTGTCAAGCGACAAGTCCAAAAACTGTGCAGGGGGAACAGGGAAGGGGAAAAGTCAGACATCTGACATGGTGCATCAACACACAGCAGAATGGGGCGAGTGGAAAGCACTGCATCATGCTCTGATTTGGCCTACCTGGCAGCTCAAGAGCATGGTCAACATGAGCACATTTACCCGTACCTGACAGGTTTGACGTGCGTTCACCTCTCTTCACAGCGTTCCAATACCTTTTTGTAGTCCGGATACGTACGTATACCCGTTCTCCGCACCGCCTAAGTGTCCAGGTGTTTGCGGTATGTTCTGCCGCCGTGACACGGGCTGGGCGGTGAGGGGGGGGGGGGGGGAGCAGAGGAGGGGTGGACGGGTGCATGCGACAGAGTGCCACGAGAAGGGCGGCGGGGGGCCCTGGGAAGATCACCAGAAGCCCTGCCAGGCATCTCAGTCACAGGCGTTCTGGCCACGCCGCTGCCGTGCAGGCACGGCGGTGGACTCCTCGCCCAGAGCACACCCAGGGGCCGGGGGCCACGTGAGCGACACAAAGAACAGTGCCGTCTTCACAGACATTGGCGCGCAAGTTGCCCGCGTAAGGTCCCGCGTGAGCGCCCTCGTTTTCAGTGCAGCGTGCCGCGCCGGCGGCCCGCGTAAGCCACCGCGTAAGGTCGCTATGTCAACGTGCGTAAGACTCCTTTCTTTTCGTCGCCCACGTCTCACGGGGTGGGAGGAGGAGGAGGAGGAGGAGGACGAGGAGGAGAGGACGGGAGGAGAGGAGGAGGAGGAGGAGGGAGGAGGAGGAGGAGGAGGAGGAGGAGGAGGAGGAGGAGGAGGAGGAGGAGGAGGAGGAGGAGGAGGAGGAGGAGGAGGAGGAGGAGGAGGAGGGAGGAGGAGGGAGGAGGAGGAGGAGGAGGAGGAGGAGGAGGGAGAGGAGGAGGAGGGGCCATCCCCCGACCCCTGCCGCGCGCAGATGCTGCAGAGCCGGAGGCCCGCGCCTCGGCGCGACCCCCTCCCAGCCGCCCGTGCCGCGACCGTCGCCCGCTGCAGAGTGGGCACGCACGGCACGTTTCAGATTCGGGCGAGTGGGTCCTTTGCAAAGGTAGGTCGGCGGCGAGCCCTTTGCGGGATCCCGATGGAGGACGGGCAAGTGGACGAGGGGTTCGACGGGACGCGCGTGCGAATCCTGCCACCTTGCTCGCACGAGTCCCGAGCTGATACCTGAACTTCCGACCGAGCCACCCCAAAGCAAACGAATCGGCGACTCGCTGACGGAGGTCGGCGCTGCCCTGGGCCATGTCGCAAATCCAAGCCGGCCACGAGGTTTGACGGCGAGCAAGGCGGGAAGTGAGAAGGAGAAGGCCTTATCAGAAGGCTCGGAAGTCCCTCGGCCTTCTGAGAAGTTTTCTAAGCCTCCCCCGAAGGCACAGAAGACTCCTCAGAAGGCGCGAGGGCTTCTGAGAAGTCACGCCGCCTTCTGAGAGCGCCTTCTCCTTCTCACGTTCCCCCCTCGCTCGCCGCCAAAAAGGGGGGCTCAAAAATTTACGCAGTAGTTCGAGCAATCGTTCGTGCTGGGTCGTGCTGGATGCGCGCGGAATACGTTACATTCATCGCTGGTCCGTGAGAGAGGACACACGCCATGAGCCACATGATGAACTCTTGCATTCCTTGCGACCCCACTACGAAAGACCCTCTTTGCCCGGAATCAAGCGTCAGGTGCACCGCTCGTGTGGCATGTGGGGCGCTCCAGACAGGGCTTCGCCTCCGAGGGGTCGAGGGGTTGACATCTCTTCCTCGGCGGAAGGTCTGCGAAAGCAGAAGAGGGGACGCCCCACCGCGGGCAGCCGGCAGGATTACGCGATGGTCCCCTGAGAGATGGCAACCTCTTAGGGCGGAGCTCCTCCTCCTCCTGCTCCTCCTCCTCCTCTTCCTTCCCCCCGCCTCCATTTCCTTATAAGTAATTTCTCCCTGTCGCACCCCGAGGCCGGTCGAAAGGGCGGGCCGGGCGTTTCACTTGAGACTTCCTCACATTTGTTGACCTTGAAGCTTGAAAATTGGCAACAGTTTCACAGATGGAGGGCGGGTCGTTTTCAATATGTGGCTCTCGCCTCAGCGCCGCGCACACTCGTTGTCTACATTTGCATGAGCTTCACGGATTGAGGGCGGGTGGTTTTCAAAACGTGGCTCTCGCCTTAGCGCCGCGCACATTCGTTGTCTACATTTGCATGAACTACACGGATTGAGGGCGGCTTGTTTTCAAAATGTAGTTTTCGTTTTAGCGCCGCGCGCATTCGTTTCAACAATTTGCAACAACAAAAAGTGAGAGCGACTCATTTTCTGAATGTGGTTCTCGTCTTGGCGCCGCGCACCTTCGTTTTGCGGATTCCCATGGTCAACAGACCAGAAATGGCGTTCTGGAAAGATTCAGGATTATGAGGGTGCAAAAGTTACGTTGAGTCGCGGTGTTGAAGTCCCCGGAAATGCGTTCTGGCACGATCCAGAATCGCCAAGACGCAATAGGCAGGTTGATCCGTGGCGTTGGAGTCCCGAGAAAGATGTTTCGGCATGCTTCAGGGTATTCAAACCGTTGTCTTCCAACGAGGCAGTTCCCTCAGTGGAAATGAACCCTTGTAAGGGGCCTGTGAAGAGGGAGCTTGGAGGGACGGTTTATGCCAACACTGTTGATGATTATGGGGTTTGCACTTGTCCTCCTCCTTCTCTTCCTCCTCCTCCTCCTCTTCCTCCTCCTGTTCCTCTATCCTCCTCGTTCTCCTCTTCCTTCCTTTGGGCTCAGGGTCTCGAAGCCGGGCACGAGCACAACACGGGGGGTGACGAGAGAGGCAAAGCGCGGGTTTGGGAGGTCGCCTCCAGCAGCCACACCTCGCCGGCAGCTTGTAAGTGAGGGTGACTCGTGTCGCGCAGGTTGTCGGCGGCGACGATAGGGGCGAATAGCCCAGGGGCGGGCATTACACGCATTCGCCCGGGAGCCTTCCCGAAGACATAGATCATCGGCGCACTTGAATACATGTATTGGTCTCCCCTGGGCAATTCGCCCCTATCGGCACCTCCGAGGTTGAATCAGGGCAATTGTTATGACATGTTTTGGCGCTGTCTTGGTGCACTCAGCCCCACACGGTCCGCTTCTATGCTCGCCGATCCTCGCGCGCTCGCGATCTGCGCGGGTCGGTGGCCCTCGGACGGGCGTGGAGCAGGGTTTTGTATTTCAAGACGTCAAGGCGGCAGCAGATGCCTGACACGAAACGGTATGCGCTGCTTGGGCGGGGGCCAGGGGTAGATTTGCGCGAGCCGCAGTATGACCGCCGCACCGAGTGCCGACCAACAACGTAGGCCCCCGCAAGTTGCCACTATGTTGTCCTGCTGTCTTGGGAGAAGGAACTCGGCCCTGCGAATTTCCAGGTCAATGCAAACGACAATGTTGATCGCACCCCCGCTGTGTACTCTTTTTCTTCCGTCTTGAACTCCCAACACTTCCGAAGCCGATGGCAGGTGCGTCCTCTCCATGTAGAGCGGCATCACCATGCATACATGCAGGCGCACCGAAGTCGCCAACGGTACAAACCTATTTGGCTTTAGTTAGGCAGCGCGCTTTGGGGAGGATGAAGACATTGACAGGACTTGTCTGATTTGGGCGGTGGAGCATGCCGATCGACAGCTCCATCGTTGGCCATCCACAAGTTCAGATAATCTAGAGTCGTTGCACGCAGGCCGCATGGTTTCCGATTGGATTCTTCCTTCGCGGATGGGCAATTCTCTCCATTCCCGCACTTACCCACCTCATCATGTTCATAACTCCTCCTCCTCCCCCTCATTGTCATGGACAATTTCGACCGGGAGGAAGTGAAAAGGCTCAAAGAGCGCTAGAAGCTGCGAGACAGCACGCAGACCCTGTTGGATGGTACCGAGAGCTTCGAGGATAAGTTCGCCGACCCGAAGTCATAGGAGACGACGACGGCCAGCTCCTCCAGCGGCCACCAGTGAGAGCACCCACTGGAGCCCACTGGAAAGCCAAGAGATGCATTAGCGAGGTTTTCTCGGAGTGCTACTCTGGGCAAGCTGGACGAGCCCACTGGCAAAGCCGAGAGATGCATTAGCGAGGTTATCACGGAGTGCTACTCTAGGCAAACAGGACGGGCAAACACAAGGTGCTCGCACTAACATCGCCATGGGAAGTGCTTTTCTGGAGTACCGACAGGTACATTACTGCAGGGTGATGAGTGGGGGAAACAGTGATCATCACGAAGGCCACCAGAGTGCATTCTCGATGGCCCCACCTACGACATACCGTGACGACCAGTATGCTCTACCCCACACACGCTTCGAGGGGGAACAGTGGGATACATCAACAGGGTATCAGAGTACAGATACGACAATGCATAGGACGACTATCGGCCAGTTCGAGGCGGAAGAGAAGTGAGCCGAGCAAGAGAGGAGATAATAGGATGTAATAAAATAAAATTAATACCAAAAAAAAAAAAAAAAAAAAAAAAAACGTAATCAGGCCCCCCAGCACAAAGTTTGGGAAGCACGGGCCTTTCGACCCTCCCCCCGTCCTCTTTTTGAGTTGTCGTGTCGTCGTCTCCTCCCCCCCAGCTTGGGCGCAGTGCTACGCCCGCGAGTCCCCACCCCCACCCCTTGGGCACGCGGAAAGGCCAGCAGCAGCGCCCCCCGCACTGGCCTGCAGGGACTCGTAATCGTAAGGTGAGCAACGGGGTATGCCCCGCGCCGGCCCTAGTTAGAAGTCAAAGCCGTTGTACAACCAATCGCAGGGGATCTTGTCTGACGCGCGCAAGGCACCAGCGTATGTGTTTTGACGTTGAACCCCCTTTTACGCGGATGTCCTGTCCTGTCCTCATCATCATCGTCATCGTCAGTATCATACTCACCCTCATCCTCCTCCTCCTTCTCCTCCTCCTCTTCCACAGGGCACGCTCTGCCTCCTCGGCTTGGCAGGAGGACGAGGAAGAGGAGGACGAGCAGGAGGAGGA